AAATCTGGAATCTGGAAACCTATGTCCTGGAAAAGGCCGGAAATCAGGAAATCCGGAACCGAAACCTGCAGGCGTGGATCTTAGGGGGGGGGGGGCGAGCATATATATATATATATATATAGTCATTTCTCGCCCATGCAGTAACAGCCCCAGCGCCGACAACATCAGGACTGCAATAATATTGCGTAGTTGACCACATATACACAAGCACGAGCTTTTTCCTTTGCGTCAGATACAACTGGATATCAGGTATCAAGTATACAGTGTCGCTACTTACACAGACCAACGCTGACCCGATCATCTCTGTACACAGATATATTTTGAATATACACACGGAGTCTTACAACTTTTTACAGAGAATATCTAGAACAAAGTGTTGTCTCAAATCTACCTACGTCTGTGATGTAGTACTGTCTGTAATGTAGTATTGATGTGTTTGCCTAGTTCATACAAAACGCATATCTCTGTAGAAGTTTTGGTGTGCGTGTCGCGCGTGAGACCTGGTGATATACACAATCATGATGTAACAGGAAGAAGCTTGCATCTCGGAAGCCAGGACGGCTAAGATGAGTCAGAACACGTAAAGACAAGAAGCTGCATATATGCATATGTACCATGGAGTATCCCATAGTAGTCTCGTGTGTTGCCGCCTCGATGTGTTTTGAGATTCCTTGTATTTTGACTCGGGGTGCGACAAAAATAGTCTCTGTTGCACAGTTTGGTGCCAATTACGGGTTCCGCGAAAGTTTCTCAACATGCTCGTGCACATATACAGGTAGTAGCGACCGCAAAACTGTCTGCCGAGTTGAACTTTTATATAGTTGAGTGCTAAAGTTAAATGCTTTTGGCCCAATATTTCTATCCCAGCGGGTGTGTAGTCCAGAGTTTTGACGGATCCAAGAAGAGAACTCGATACGTTTTTGCAGGGGTCCATGCACCTACAAGACAGGATTTTGTGGGGATTCCAAAGGGGTTCTATCAAGGTTGTCTATATGATTTATCAGGGTTCTGTAGTGGATTTAGAAGGCTTCTGTAGAGATCTATAATGGGTTCTATAATTGCTCTCGGAGGCTTTTGTTTCAAACCAAAACAATGTCTACTTTGGATGTAGAAGGGTTGCTGAAAAGCAACTATAGAGCTAAGGTATATACGATACATGTAAATGGACCTTGTCTGTTTAGGAGTTTCAGAAAAACAGGGGCCTCAATGTATATAGAGGCCCCAAGTAGTAGGATCCTTATCCCGTGAGGACCCTTTCGATCACCTTCTTGAAGCAATGAAGGCTACAGTCAGCTTACCTCAAAGCCTTGGTCTTGGGGGGGCGGGGGCTAGCATATATGATACCCCCCTCAAAGACCGAGGTTCTTGTATAATCTTACAAACAATAAGTCCAGTCTATGGTCTGTGGGGGTTTTGGGGGCATGGTACCAATCCCAATCCCCCCACACAATCGGTCAGATCTTCAATCCGGGATGCATCGCAGCCCGGGCGATGGGCCAATTCGGTCATTTCCACCCAAAAAGGGTGGATAACCCAGGGGGGTAGCATATAAATATATAAATATAAATATAAATA